AGCAGGAATATTGCATTCAAATCACCCCTGACAGATGGCCATCCAGCCTCTGTTTAAAAGCTTCCAAAGAAGGAGCCTCCACCACACCCGGGGCAGAGAGTTCCACTGCTGAACGGCTCTCACAGTCAGGAAGTTCTTCCTCATGTTCAGATGGAATCTCCTCTCTTGTAGTTTGAAGCCATTGTTCCGTCCTAGTCTCCAGGGAAGAAGAAAACAAGCTTGCTCCCTCCTCCCTGTGGCTTCCTCTCACATATTTATACATGGCTATCATATCTCCTCTCAGCCTTCTCTTCTTCAGGCTAAACATGCCCAGCTCCTTAAGCCGCTCCTCATAGGGCTTGTTCTCCAGACCTTTTATCATTTTAGTCGCTCCTCTGGACACATTCCAGCTTGTCAATATCTCTCTTGAATTGTGGTGCCCAGAATTGGACACAATATTCCAGGTGTGGTCTAACCAGAGCAGAATAGAGGGGTAGCATTACTTCTACTCCTTCTAAAGAAACCATTTGCTTGATAAGTCTGTGTTTCAGAAACAAACTTCACGTTGTACCTCTTAGTAATGAGTTGTCTGCTTCAAATATTTCAATAAACCTGTTCTCTCGTTTACCGTTAATCTGCCTCAGCCTTGTTTTATCATAAAAAGTTAGATCCAGACAGCCTCCACATCTCCACAGTTCAGTCACAAGAACGGGAGCCAAAAGGAAGAACTGGTGTATAGGGACATTTTACCTCAAGTACAATGACCAGATAATTGCTCAAACTGTGGTTTGGGGTGGTGGCAGCAAACCTACCATTACATACACGCCGTTCTCTCTCATCACCTGTAACACCCTCGTATATATACCTTTACATTGGTGGCAGCGGTGGGATTGAAAAGAAAGGTTCCCCCCGTCACATGCGATAATAGACCCTTATCTCCTTTACATTACATTCTGTTTTGAGTCCTGGCATGAAGGCAGACACACCATTGGTTGCCCTAGTTAATGGCTTTTGCTAAGCAATGCAACCCTCTTGGTTCTTCTGGGCATCTCAGTGGCTTTCAGTGATATCTGGATTATTTGTTATAGGCTGAGTCTACATATAATTCATTTTGAATCTGCATTACATGGTCAGTGTAGACTCATATTATGCAGTTCAACATAGTAGATGCAGCATTTGTCAGAAGAGACAACACGGGTCATCTAGTCTAATCCTAGCACCCTTGACAGATAGAGCATGCCTGAGTATGTTCCAAACACTTGACATGTTCACTGGGATGAAGTCTTGTGTGTACGTGGCTTCAAGTTACCTATCTACGTACAGCAATAGGAATACTCAGATGTGGTTTGGCCAGTTCCTTCTTCTGAAATATAGCCCACAGAACCCAGTATTCCTTGGTGATCTCCCATCCACATACTAACCTTAAATAAATGATTAAATGAAATTAAATAGACGATTTTCTCCACCAGATATCATCTCTCTCAGAAAACATAAACAAACCTCCTCCTCTTCTATCTCTCCTAGTTTTCTTCCTTTCTTTTGGCTGCTCTCTCCCTGCCCTTCTCTTTTGTTTCTCCTTCCATTCCCCCACTTTCCCCTGCCTTCCTCTCCTCCCAAGTTTCCTCTTTGTATTCTCTCCTTTTCCCTCCCCTGGGCTGGGGTGGGGCTGAGACTCATGAGCTTTTACTCCAGGGCCCTCCTTTTCTTCCCTGCCCACACAAGAGAACCCCACTCTCTTCTTTCTTCTTGTGTTATTGAAAGCTTTCATGGCCAGAATCCCTGGGTTGCTGTGAGTTTTCTGGGCTGTATGGCCATGTTCCAGAAGCATTCTCTGACGTTTCACCCACATCTATGGCAGGCATCCTCAGAGGTTGTGAGGTCTGTTGGAAACTAGAAAAGGGTTACACTCAGTTCTTGTGGGTTTTTTCGGGCTATATGGCCATGTTCTAGAGGCATTTCTCCTGACGTTTCGCCTGCAACTATGGCAAGCTTCCTCAGAGGTGAGGTCTGCTGGAGCTGGGAAAAAAGGGGTTTATATATCTGTGGAATGACCAGGGTGAGACAAAAGGCTTTTGTAAGTTGGGCTAGGTGTGAATCTTTTCAACTGACCACCTTGATTAGCATACAATGGGCTGACTGTGCCTGGAGCAAACTCTTCTTGAAAGGGGATTAGATGTCCCTGCCTGTTTTTCTCTCTGCTGTTTTTGCTGTTGCAATTTTAGAATTTTTTAATACTGGTAGCCAGATTTTGTTCATTTTCATGGTTTCTTCCTTTCTGTTGAAATTGTCCACATGCTTGTGGATTTCAATGGCTACCAGTAGACAAACATGTGGACAATTTCAACAGAAAGGAAGAAACCATGAAAATGAACAAAATCTGGCTACCAGTATTAAAAAAAAATTCTAAAATTAAAACAGCAGAGAGAAAAACAGGCAGGGACATCTAATCACCTTTCAAGAAGAGTTTGCTCCAGGCACAGTCAGCCCATTGTATGCTAATCAAGGTGGTCAGTTGAAAAGATTCACACCTAGCCCAACTTACAAAAGCCTTTTGTCTCACCCTGGTCATTCCACAGATATATAAACCCCTTTTTTCCCAGCTCCAGCAGACCTCACCTCTGAGGATGCTTGCCATAGATGCAGGCGAAACGTCAGGAGAAATGCCTCTAGAACATGGCCATATAGCCCGAAAAAACCCACAAGAACTGAGTGATTCCAGCCATGAAAGCCTTCGACAATACTGAACATACCTTTTACCTCTGTGCTGATCAACCCAATAAAAAGGGCGAAAAAACCTGCAACAACCCTTTGGCATGAATGTTGCACTGGCCACCTTGATTAGCATTGAATAGCCTTTCAGCTTCAAGGACTGGCTGGTTCTTGCCTGGGGAAATCCTTTGTTGGGAGGTGTTAGCTGGCCCTGATTGTGTCATGTCAGGAATTCCCCTGGATTTCTGAGTGTTCCTCTTTATTTACTATCCTGATTTTAGAGGTTTTTTTTTTTTTAAAATGGCAGCCAGATTGTGTTCATTTTCATGGTTTCCTCCTTCCTTTCTGTTGCAATTGTCCACATGCTTGTGTTATTTCAATGGCTTCTCTGTGTAGACTGACATGGCGGTTGTCAGAGGAGTCCAATATATAAAACACAGATAAACACTAAGATGCACAAAGTATTATGTTATTGTTGTTGAAACTTCAAATATGATGTCTTATGACAGGTTTATTACTTATAAACACAGTATAGAGGAACAACTTCTCTTTGTCATGGATAAATGTCCATATTCATTTAGATAAACATAATAGTCCAATCTGTCTGATGATTTAAAACAGGGGTCCTCAAACTTTTTAAACAGAGGGCCAGATCACCATTCCTCAAACTGTTGGAGGGCCAGATTATAATTTGAAAAAAAAATGAATGAATTCCTATGCACACTGCACATCTTATTTGTAGTGAAAAAACACTTAAAACAATACAATAATTAAAATGAAGAACAATTTTAACAAATGTAAACTTATTAGTATTTCAATGGAGCCCCCGGTGGCGCAGTGGGTTAAACCCCTGTGCTGGCAGGACTGAAGACCGACAGGTCGCAGGTTTGAATCTGGGGAGAGGCGGATGAGCTCCCTCTATCAGTTCCAGCTCCTCATGCGGGGACATGAGAGAAGCCTCCCACAAGGATGATAAAAACATCAAATCATCCTGGCGTCCCCTGGGCAACGTCCTTGCAGACGACCAATTTTCTCACACCAGAAGTGACTTGCAGTTTCTCAAGTTGCTCCTGACACGACAAAAAAAAAAAGTATTTCAATGGGAAGTGTGGGCCTGCTTTTGGCTGATGAGATAGGATTGTTGTTGTTGTTGTTGTTGTTGTGTGCTTTCAAGCCGTTTCAGACTTAGGTTGACCCTGAATGAGGGTAGGGTAAATGACCTTGGAGGGCCATATCCGGTCCCTGGGCCTTAGTTTGAGGACCCCTGATTTAAAGAGTCACTTGTAGATGTTTTCAAAGGCCTATTTATCCATGGCTAAGAGAAGTTGTTCCTCTATATTGTGTTTATAAGTAATAAACTTGTCATGTTGTTGTTGTTCATTCGTTCAGTCATCTCCGACTCTTCGTGACCTCATGGACCAGCCCACGCCAGAGCTCCCTGTCGGCCGTCACCACCCCCAGCTCCTTCAAGGTCAGTCCAGTCACTTCCAGGATGCCATCCATCCATCTTGCCCTTGGTTGGCCCCTCTTCCTTTTGCCTTCCACTTTCCCCAGCATAATTGTCTTCTCTAGGCTTTCCTGTCTCCTCATGATGTGGCCAAAGTACTTCAACTTTGTCTCTAGTATCTTTCCCTCCAGTGAGCAGCCGGGCTTTATTTCCTGGAGGATGGACTGGTTGGATCTTCTCGCAGTCCAAGGCACTCTCAGAACTTTCCTCCAACACCACAGCTCAAAAGCATCGATCTTCCTTCGCTCAGCCTTCCCTAAGGTCCAGCTCTCACATCCGTAGGTGACTACAGGGAATACCATGGCTTTGACTAGGCGGATCTTTGTTATATATGACATCATATTTGAAGTTTCAACAACAATAACATCATACTTTGTGTGTTAGAAGAGTCCAGCATTTCTGTGTTCTCCAATAATGTGCTGTGTCCAGATTGGTTTATTCCTTCTTCCCATATTCCCTACTTTGTTGTTTCTGGGTTGTTGTAGGTTTTTCCGGGCTATATGGCCATGTTCTGGAGGCAATTTTTCTCCTGACGTTTACTTTGTTGTTTCTCCCCTTCCATTCCCTCCTACATCTCCCCCCTCCTCCCCTGAGCTGGGAATCCCAGGCTCTTCCTCCTTTTCCTCCCCTGCCTGGTTGGGGATGCCTCGTGACAAGGAGACCCTTCCTCTCTTTCTTCCTCCTCCTTTGCCTCTCTCTTAGGTAGACCCCCTTCCTATCTTTCCTTCTCTTTCCCGGCGGTGGGCGGGGCTTCCCCTTGGCTCCGCCCAGCCGAGGCATGACGTGGAGAGAGACGCCGGGGGCCGCCGCTGCTTCTGCGCGCGTGGAAGGAAGGAAGGAAGGCAGGCAGGCAGGCAGAGAGGGAGAGGGGCGCGAGGGGAAAGGCGCGCGGCGGAGGCTCCGGCTCTGGCTCTTCTCTCTTTGGCCCCAAGGAAGCCTCCTTCCGAGCCCGCAAAGGAGCCAGGGGAAGAAGAAGGAGAAGAAGGAGAAGAAGAGGAAGGGGTGAGGGGCGCGCGGGGCGGGCCGCGGGGCATGGAGAGCCTGCTGGAGAACCCGGTGCGCGCCGTGCTCTACCTGAAGGAGCTGACGGCCATCGTCCAGAACCAGCAGAGCCTCATCCACACCCAGCGGCAGCGCATCGACGAGCTGGAGCGGCGCCTGGACGAGCTGGGCGCCGAGAACCGCAGCCTCCGCGACCAAGTCACAGGCGAGAGCCCCAAGCAGCAGCCACCGCCGCCGCCGCAGAAGCCGCAGAAGCCTCCCCCGCCGCCTCCGCCGCCTCGGTTGACGCCGTGCACGGTGCCTCCTCCTCCGCTGCCTCCTCCTCCGCCTCCTCTTCCTCCTCAGGGCCAAGAACAGCAGCAAGAACAGCAGCAGCAGCAGCAGGAAGCCCCGCCGCCCGGGCAGCCCGTTCAGCACCAAGAACAGCTCCCGGCCCCGCAAGCCAGCAGCAGCAAGCAGGCTCAGGCCGGCGCGGGCCCCAGCGGGAGCAGCAGCAGCCGGCCCTCGGCCCCTTCGCAGCCCCACCAGCACCACCACCACCATCATCCCCCGCCCGAGAGGAGCGGCTGCCCGGCCCTCCTCCAGCACAAGAGCCCCCAGGCCCTGGGCAAAGGCGTCCTGGCCAGGAGACCGGAGTGAGTCCACGGCAGGGGTCGGGGTTGGCCTTGGGGAGGGGGGAATGGGGCAGGAGAGAAGCTGGGGAAGAAGACAAGGCAGGAAACCCCACCCAGGGCCCATTGCCCCACTCCTCTTTACAAGGCAGGAAATCCCACCCCAGGCTCTTTACCCCACTCTTCACTAATCAGGAAATCCCATCCCTGTCCCATTGCCCCACTCCTCTTCACAAGGCAGGGAATCCCACCCCAGGCTCTTCGCCCCACTCCTCTTCACAAGGCAGGAAATCCCACCCTTGGCCCATTGCCCCACTCCTCTTCACAAGGCAGGGAATCCCACCCCAGGCTCTTTGCCCCACTCCTATTCACAAGGCAGGAAATCCCATCCTGGTCCCATTGCCCCACTCCTCTTCACTAGGCAGGAAATCCCATCCCAGGCTCTTTGCCCCACTCTTCTTCACAAGGCAGGAAATCCCACCCTTGGCCCATTGCCCCACTCCTCTTCACAAGGCAGGAAATCCCGCCCTTGGCCCATTGCCCCACTCCTTTCAGAAGGCAGGAAATCCCACCCTGGTCCCACTGTCCCACTCCTCTTCACAAGGCAGGAAATTCCACCCCGGGCTCTTTGCCCAACTCTTCTTCACAAGGCAGGAAATCCCACCCTGGTCCCACTGCCCCACTTCTCTTCACAAGGCAGGAAATCCCATCCTGGTCCCATTGCCCCACTCTTCTTTACAAGGCAGGAAATCCCACCCTGGGCTCTTTGCCCCACTCCTTTTCACAAGGCAGGAAATCCCACCCTAGACCCATTGCCCACTCCTGATTTCACCTTGGTCGGAGGCCCAGTTGGGGAACCCACTAAGGGAGGAAATCCCACTCTGGTTCCACTCTTGGTTTCATTCTCCAAGTCCTCATCATCAACAACCTCACTCTCAGGGATGTTCTCTCAACTTTTAGCTACTCCTCGATGCTGCCTTGTCTGAAGCTTTTGATGTTTTTGAAATCATTCCTCTTCCTTTCTGAGGATACTTGCCAGGCAAAATATCAGGAGAGAATGCTTCTAGAACATGGCCATGCAGCCCGAAAAAAACTACAACAACCCAGTTTTGTCTCTCTTCCTACCATTTTGTGGCTTGGGCAAATGGGGAAAGCCCATCCATCCCCAGTTGCCAGTTTCCCTCAATGAAGTCCTTGGTGGCACAATGGGTTAAAATGCTTGTGCCCGCAGGACTGCTGACTGACAGGTTAGCAGTTGGGTTGAGCTCCCTCTGTCAGCTCCAGCTCCCCATGTGGGGACATGAGAGAAGCCTCCCACAAGAATGGTAAAACATCAAACATCCTTGTGGGAGGCCTCTCTCATGTTCCCGCATGGGGAGCTAGAGCTGACAGAGGGAGCTCAACCTGCTCTCTCCAGATTCGAACTGCTGACCTGTCAGTCAGCACTGCTGCTGACACAAGTGCAATGTCCTTGCAGACAGCCAATTCTCCCACACCAAAAGTGACTTGCAGTTTCTCAAGTCACCCCGGACACAAAAAAAGAAAACTTCCCCCAGTTTCCCCCTGGCATGTTCTTCCCAGGCTTGGCTACTCCTTTCTGCCTGATTGTCCCAAGCCTATATTTTTGAATCCCCCCCCCCCCAAGTGGCTCAGTGGGTTAAACCACAGAGCTGCTGTACCTGCTGACTGAAAGGTTGGCGGTTCAAATCCAGGGAGTGGGGTGAGCTCCCGTTGTTAGCCAATCCAGCAGTTCAAGAAGGAGCCTCCAGTAGTGCAATGGGTTAAACCCTTGTGTCAGCAGTTCAAATCCAGAGACAGCAGGTTGAGCTCCCTCTGTCAGCTCTAGCTCCCCATGCGGGGACATGAGAGAAGCCTCCCACAAGGATGGTAAAACATCAAAACATCCAGGCATCCCCTGGGCAACATCCTTGCAGTTGGCCAATTCTCTCACACCAGAAGTGACTTGCAGTTTCTCAAGTCACTCGTGACATTAAAAAAAAGCAGTTTGACAACATGCAAATTTATTTATTTATTTATTTATCGTATCAGAAGGGAATTGAGAATACAGTTGTAATATATATAAAAACACAAACAAAGTTTTTAAAAACTTGGCATTATACTAAATATCCTTTGGTCAGTAGCTGGCCACTTGGAGTGCTTCTGGTGTAGCTATAATTCCCCCATTGTGCATGTGGCAGAACTTAAGACTACATTGCAATAGGTGGTCTGTGGTTTGCAATGTGCAGATGTGAGTAGATCAATAGGTATCACTTCTGTGGGAAGGCAATGGCACTCCATTCAGTTATGCTGGCCATGTGACCTTGGAGGTATCTGTGGACAATGCCAGCTCTTTGGCTTAGAAATGGAGATTAACCKCCCCCCCCCCCCCGGAGTTGGATATGACTAGACTTAATTCCAGGGGAAACCTTTTCCTTTACCATATATTTTTGAAACTATGGTCTCTTCCTTTAAAAGGAAGGGTCTTCCCAAAGGCATGAGCAAATTTCAGTCCAAGTTTTTTGGACTTCAACTCCCACAATTCCTAACAGTAGGCTGTTAGGAATTTGTGGGAGTTGAAGTTCAAAACACCTGGAGGGCTGAAGTTTGCCCATGGCTGGTCTACCCACACAATACGTCTCTGCTTTTGGCTACAACCCTGTAATGAGGAAATCCCATCCTGTGCCAGTTTCTCAGCCTTGGCTGCTCTTTGCTGCTATGATTTCATTGCTAAAAATCACAATAATAATCTCCTTTGGAGGGAAAGTGCTAACCTCCTCCATCCTGTGTTTCCTTCAGGCAACGAGGGGAAATCCTATCCTGTGCCAGCCCTCCCCCCCTCTTTCTGTTCCTTCCAGTCTTGGCTACTTCAAGCTGCTTTATTGCCCAATGCTTACACATCTGAAATCATCATTTCCTCCTTTGGAAGGATTTACCCCAGGTATGGGCAAACTTGGGCCCTTCCTCCAGGTGTTTGGACTTCAACTCCCACGATTCATAACAGCCTCAGGTCCTTTCCTTTCCTCCCTCATCTGCTTAAGCCCTGAACTCCCATCCTGTGTCAATTCCAGTTCCCCCAGTTTCTGTCAGGCCTAAAGGTTGTTCCTTCCAATCTTGGCTACTCCTTGGTGCTTGCATTTTTAAAATCATGATGTCCTCATTTGGGGGGAAGGCTCTACTCTCTGGGTTGCTGTGAGTTTTCCAGGCTGTATGACCAAGTTCCAGAAGCATTCTCTCCTGACATTTCACCCACATCTGTGGCAAGAATCCTCAGAGGATCCCTGGGTGAAATGTCAGGAGAGAATGCGTCTGGAACCTGGCCATACAGCCTGGAAAACTCACAGCAACCCAGTGATTCAGTCCATCAAAGTCTTCAGCTCTGTATTTGATATCTTCCTGGAGCTGCAATCCTATGGCGTGGGCGAGTGGGGAAGTCCTATCTTGTGCCAATTTCCAAGTTCCCCCAGTTTCTGTCCTGCCTAAAGGATGCTCCTTCCAACTTGGGCTACTCTTTGCTGCTATATTACTCAAAATTTACTTTTTTGATATCACAATCTCCTCCTCTTCCTCCCTTCTTGGCCCATTTTGCTTATTTTGTGCCACTCAAATGGTGATGAATGCCAGCAAGAAAGAGAGAGAAGGGATGGTGGAAGTTTTAAAGCAATTTTTATGCTGTGCAGTTTTTCTTCCTCTCTTCCTTTAAAAAAAAATAGTAATAGCTCCTATTACACAATCGGGATTTCCCTCTCTGTTAAGGACACGGTATGAAAATGTTACAGATGCTTGCTACTATTGACGTAAGATGTTCTTATTATACAGTGGGAATGCCAATTTATTTTGCCTTTGGGTCTGTAATGCGTTGAAGTGGGTCCCAATTTCTGCTGCGGTGAAAGGTTCTTATAGAGGGTTTCTTTCTTTGGCAAAAAATGCACGGTTGCGTGTATATGTGATATAGTGAGTGTGCATGGTATGTGAGAGCTCCACTTTGCTGCAATGGGTGGTCTGAAGCAGTACTGTGGAATTGCGATTATCTGGCTTATGCATACATTCATCAGCATTCTGCTTTGCAAATGCCTCTTGCTAGAGATCTGTTACCTGTCTGAGGTGTATTTAGCAGGTGCTATTATGTTAAGTGGTGGAAGCCAGAAATACTACTGTGGTAGAACAAAACGGTGCTCCATGCAGTCATGCTGGCCACATGACCTTGGAGGTGTCTATGGACAATGCCGGATCTTCGGCTTAGAAATGGAGATGAGCACCACCTCCCAGAGTCGGACACAACTAGACTTAATGTCAAGGGGAAAGCTTTATCTTTACTTTTAGAACAAAAAAATACTTTTAAGCATTGTAAAAATTTAGAAATTTGGTTGTATTTTTTTTCTAATTGCATGATTTTATCTGTAATTTTAATGCTAACATTGAGACCTGAGGCCCATTAACAACTTTTGAGACTAAGGGAAAAATATTAACTTCCACCCCATATCCATAAATCTTAATTATTTCTTTGCTTTCCATTTGCATATGGAAATATTGCTTATCTGGGAGCAATAGAACAATGAAACTATATATTGTCGAAGTCTTTCATGGCCGGAATCACTGGGTTGTTGTAGGTTTTTTCGGGCTATATGGCCATGTTCTACAGCATTCTCTCCTGACGTTTCACCTGCATCTATGGCAAGCATCCTCAGAGAATGCTTGCCATAGATGCAGGCGAAAGGTCAGGAGAGAATGCCTCTAGAACATGTCCATATAGCCCGAAAAAACCTACAACAACCCAATGAAACTATATGCTTTTTTAAAAAATGTGGCCAATTTCCATCTGACTGAGACCTGCCTGACTAAATGATGGTATCTGTTTTTATATATAAAAAAATATAGCTTCCTGGGCAATAGTGAACTCCTGTGTCTAGCACAGTGGCTCTCAACCTTTTTTTGACCAGGGACCACTTGACCAGGGACCACTCTCCAACATTAGTACCAAAAGTATTACAAATAAGTTTTTGGTCAACTTTAAATTCATTTTGGTA